ATCGACACTCTCTTCCATCGTTTAAATGTATCGACAAATTTTCAGTTCGAACTGCTACCTTTTGATGTATATTAGGATAATCAGTGTATTAAAGCACTGACTTGTTCGATTGCAGGAGAACTGTCACAGTTAGCTATTGGTTCTCTGTATCGAAGTCGATAGTTCTCGTGACACTCACATCGAAATGATGTGCATAGTTTCAGTGTTTTGTTGTAAACACATTTACAAATGAATAATGTCACAGATATCGGAATCATTATGTATGCTGGTACATCCATTAAATGTCGCTTAATATGGAAATGGTCACGATAGTTAGTCCTAAGTAAATTGGATAATTATTACCGTTACTGGTATCGAGATATAGCATCGATGGTCTCCACTCACTCACTCACTCACTCACTCACTCACTCACTCACTCACTCACTCACTCACTCACTCACCAACCACGATAATCGTGTGCATGTCAATTCAGTAACACAATAGTACATTTGAGTTGAAAGCTTGTGCCACAATGCAAATAAAACAGTGGACAAGCGTACGCCACACAAATCGAGTTCAGGTGATGATGAATAACAACTCCATCAACCCATTTCACATATCGAATTATCAGCCCATGTATGAGGACGCCACAAATTACTCAGTTGTCCTAATAATCTGTGGTAAAGAGTTGAAGGATTTCATGATCAAGCATCAGTGAACTGATATGACCACGTTGCCTGAAATCGACGAACCACCACAATCCCCACGATTCGAAGTAAGAACATCGGTTCATGTCAATTTTATACAAGATCATCGTTCATTGAATAAAAATCACACTCAAATCAAGTAATGTTTCACCGAATAAAATATCACACTGCAAAACATTAACAAATAATACACTGAATAATCATCATATTGAATTGACAAAACGGCCATAAAATGGAATAACAATCACAATGAGTCAAATAAACAAAATTCCATTTTGTCATTTTATCCCGATCTATCAGAAACGACACACACGTTCATTCATCAGAGGTCGATCCAACAAACCGGATAGCGTGTCTGTGAGATAATCACATTTTCAAACAATCACATTCACTACACAATTCTTAGTCATACTAATTTGGGAATGACATCATGCATTATGCATGAGAAGAACACATCGTTACACAAAAGCAACTCCACATTCTGTATTTTGTCAATGTCTTACTCACTCAGAATACATCGATTGAGTACATTGGCTCGATGAGTGATCTGTACTTAGGAGATCATTCGCAATCTAGTCAAATGCAAACAAGTGATATTTCTAGGTTGATATACATGAGAAAATGAAATATGAATAGATGAAATGGACAATCTTATCAGATTTCGTTTGACATTCCCATCTCTGATGACATCTTAACATGAGCATAATTCGATGTGTAGCGAAAAGCATTTACGAAGATTGTTCACTAGTTCAATATGAATTGTTAGAACATTCGCTGTCTCAGGAACCTACAATCGACGAAATTCTTACACCGATTGATACTAATTGAATTCCAGTTCTAGATTTTATCATTTCATGTTTCACAGATAAACGTGTTGGTCGAACACATGAGGATATTGCACTTCATACAACCACATTGATATTTCAATAATTCCGCATAGTGGAGGAACAGTGAGAGAGATGTGACGAACTCTCGATTCATGCACAACTCAGTTCTAGATGTATCTCATCTATATTGAAACCAAGTGAAAGATATGACATATTATAACAAACATATTGTGAGATGTCAACTGGACAAGTGAGAAGTGTGACCAAATACCTACTTACTATCAATGGATATTCAACGACAGTTGTGAACAACGACACAAAACTAGTAGAGGAGAGGTCGGAAATTACAACACACTCGAAAATACGTTATTACTGAAGTTACAGGATGGGAGTGAAATAGTGACACGATGAAACGTCATGAAACATTTACTACAAACTGAACATTGGTCAACAGATTGGAATAATCACGCACCGTGTTTTCAATCTAATGGATAATGAATACTGTTGTGAGTCGATTAATTCACAATAATAGCCAGTAATTATTGTTGTGTACATGTTACTAGAACGATTGATTTAGTGATTGTTAGCTCTGTTCATACTGTCATACTTTCCCAAACTATAAATCATGATATCAAGTACACCAACTCTGTTATCTATTGTGTGGGATTGTGGATGCGCACTGCTGAGGAGAAGTCCCACAATAGGACAAAACGGCCGTCCAGTGCTTCTAGGTTTTCCATGGTGGTCTAGCTTCAATTGACTCATGATTTCAAGCTGTGAAATTTCTAAAAATCTCCGCAAAACCCATTCTGATATCTACATTTACTTGTTTATGATTTGACGGGATGAAAAGATAAAATTACATTCTTTTACTCAATGTAATTTTTCTTCAATATTACTTCTATTTTCTAATTCAATGTGGTGATTACTCAATGTATTACTTGTTTTTGTCTTCCAGTATGATATTCCATTCGATATAACATACTACAGTCATGTATCAAGTTAACGTTAACTATGATAAGTATAACATGCAACATGTAGTCTGTTATAACTCACTTGTATCAGTCTTGATGTTCGTTGGAATTATAGTGGTTCCTTATTTTACAATTATAAGTAATAATCAGTTTAGGGGTTGCGGAGATTGTTAAATTTTTGATTCAGATCATGAACCGATTAATGTTAGACCACCATTGAAAACCTGGAAACACTGGACGGCCATTTCGTTCTATTGTGGGACTCCTCCTCAGCAGTGCGCATTCACGATCTCGCGAGCAGGATAAGTAATTTTGATATAGTAATTAGCGACAACCAGATATAACAACAATTGGTGACACAGTCATATCAGTGTCTATACCATTCAAACTAATAGCCGTTTTTGAAATATATCAGGTATAAAGCTTTACGAAGACTAACGAAATAAGATTCATATTTATAATGTTCGGTTACTGTCGGTTCAAATGTGTTTCTTAATTGATTTTGTTGTTATTATTACTGTTTTCTTTATTACAAATGTATTCTATCTAGACATTTATGTAAAACAACTTTTCAATGTTCAGCAAAGTTTCTTATATACTACTCATTACTATAATTTCATTGAATAGAAATATCTATTGTGTACACGAGTCTTAATGCATATATATATAAGTCAAACTATTATTGTCAGAAATGGCATAAACAAATGCATTACAAATTATACCTTAGTTACTGGTAAATAAAGGTCAATTTTTACAAGTTCTTTAATTAATTACTGGTAACCATCAGATGACAACTGGTTGTTATTGGAAACAGATCTATAAAATATAAATACATTATCCTATTCATATTACTTGTAAAGGCTCTATTCATTGAAATTATAAGTAAGTATCATATAATATATATGCTCATACTGTATTAATAAATTGTCACTATTCAACTGACTTATGCCTGTTATCCATCGTGGAGGAACATAGGTCACCTATCTGCATTCCTCATCGAACTCTGTAGTGTTAATCATTAATTCTATGCATTTGGAAAACCAATGTGTGGGATTACTGACGTACAACTTTGAGCGATGAGTCACTCAGCTCGTATGTCGATGGAGAATACCTCCAACTATGTGAATTAACGTGAACTGCATACTGCCTTGAACATCGACATCTTGAACACGTATTGCAGTTACGGGATATACTGTGACCACGCCTGACCGAACGTTGGCTCTTCGTCTATTACAGTAAATCGTGGATTCGACTAGTGCCTGCGAGCATGTATACCCCTATGTCAACGTGGGTTACTAGTCAAAGGCTCCGTTCTAAGAATTCGGCCACAGCTTAGCCCGGTCTAGATGGCTTGATTGCGATGCTGTGGTAGGTTGTGCTTGAGTCGTAGCTTAATGACATTATACACGACCGGGAAAAATCTCTCTTATCGTATGTTACGTTAACTAATTGATCTTGTCTGTACGTGTGGTCTATGGTTTATACTGATAGTATGTGTATCACACACGAACTATACAGTTATCCCTGCCCTCGAATCAGACCTGATTAGCTTCTGAACTTAAGCATATCACTAAGGGGCGGAAAATAAACTAACAAGGATTTCCTTAGTAACTGTGAGTGAAAAGTGACTAGCTCAACACCGAATCCTGCGGTGAATTGATCGTGAGGCAATGTGTTGCTTATGTTGGCTTCAGGCTTACTATCTAATCATTCAATGTAATTCACTTTCAATTTTAAAAAGACTTCCACTCAGATAACGGACAAAACTTTAGTTTTCCATTCTTGAAGGAATTTCACTGATTATCAGATGTCTTGATTGTATCGAGTTTTAATTTTTCATCGTCAATAGTGTTTTAGATGTTTAGATTCTGAAGTTATTTTGACTATCGTTTCTCTTGTCTTCATTTGCATTCCTCTCAATGATATTCATTGAATTGATCATTAATTTCATAAGTAATATCACTATGTGTAAACTATCAGTCGAAGTGACATTTTCACAACATCAACACTCGTACATACTTATAGTTGAGGCTTAACATATTCCCTGACATGTAAGTGTTCCTTTTTAAGATAGTGGTTGGAAGTAGTCAACTGGAAACCCTGGACCCAGATTTCGCGGTACTTGACATTCGTCAGCAAGGTGTACCTGTAATCTTGAGGTAACTGATGCTCCCTGACAGATTTGATTCCGTGTCACTCAGCTTTACAGTCAGAGACATTAACACTGAGCTATCCGGTCCGTGACTGACCTTCTGTAGGACTGAGATTTATTTAAAATTGATTGATCATTAGATGATGATCAATGTCATGTGTGTCAGGTCCTTAGTGCAGATCGAGTCACCTAGACTAGTGAATATATTGCCACTTGTTCGATAGGATCCGATCTTCACTAAGAAGGATCTGACATATATGACATCGATCACTACCTAGTGACCAATCAATTGAGCTATCTGATCTGTTAATTTATTTAAACACATCTTATTTTCTTTAATCACAGGTGAATTCATTGAATCATGAAGACAAATAAATCGAGAACAATCAACTTACTGACATTTTTAATCATATTTCTTTTGATAATCAGTTACTGGGAATTGACACAAGCACGAAAATCAATATCATCAAAGAAAACAATAGTTAAACATAATACTATTCATAAAACTATACACAAACACTCTAATAAACAACCTACAAAAATTCCTCAACAGAATCAAAGACAATCACAACCTAAACCATATAATTACACATATCAACTTCTACAAAATATACAACCATTAAAAACTATTAAAAGGCAATTAAAAGCAAATATGATCAGAGATGAATCGCAATCATCCTAGTTTTCATAAACCCTATGAAAGATTAGATAATTATCAACAATATAATAATTACTTAAATGAAGAGGTACCCATTGATGAACAAGCTGGATATATGTGACAAATTGGAAATTAAATAATGACGCATAGTAACTTCAATGTTTTATTGATTAGTTTTCAGTTTCCCTATGAACGAATTAAATTACATGTACACTGGTGATTCCTTAAATCAATCATTGATATTTATGTTTGTACGCATTTAAATATAATTTTATTTAAACAATATAAACTTCCTTACATTTATTAATTGAATTCATCAGTCAGTTGAAGCTAGGTCACCATAGGAAACCTAGAGGCACCAGATGGCTGTTTTATCCTAGTACCGGACTCCTCAACAACGCCCATCCATGACCCCATCTCGCCAGATTCGAACCCAGGACCTATGGATTTCGCGCTCAATCGCTTAACCTCTAGACCACTGAGTCGGCTAGCATCGAACGGTGTTAATGTCTAACTCCAACCAATCTTACATTTGTTTTTACTCTCTTCTCACTTTATTTTTATTATATAATAATGATTATGTAACTCAGTGTAAGTGAATTATATTGAAATAATTGAAGGAAGATATTTTTATATTTCATAAAAATGGTATAATATTCTTGAGTTTAACAGTTGATTTCTCATATGCAAAGTAATACTCATCTACAAAAAAATGAAATTTATTAAAGTATTGCTAGGGTTGAAGCTATCACGAGTTCACTTAATCTAAGAACGAAAAACAAGACTCGATGACCAAAGACCAGTAAGCTAGCTATTGATGCGTCCCAGGCACACTAACTAGAGGGAGAAGTCCAAGCTTGGAATGGGGAAGTATATTCTGCAAACAGCCAGAAACGACCGATAACAACAAACAATTCAAAACGTATATATACAGTACAAAACCGTCCTTGGGGAGAGTTACCGAATAGCATACTAAAAGACGCAACGGACCAATAGCATTTAAGATATTTCCCAGTGGGAAATACGACATGAAGGTGACAAGAGCACCTTTGGCGCAGAGACAAAGAAATTCAAATTTTCCAAATAAAATTACAAAATAAGGTCCTTTCCCAAGTGAGTTCTGGAGATATAACATCCCCAAAAAGTATACATTATAATAGATTTTCAGTGTCAGTTGTGGCATTGAAATTGAATTGTTTTAACTATATAAATCAGGAATAACAAATATACACCATATATAATTAGATAAGATAGTGGTTAAAGGTATTCAACACCTTGTCGAAGAGTACCAAGTAGCACGTAATCTAGGTCCACGGTTTGCTGTTTAAATTTTACGGTTTCCTGTTGACTATCTCCAATCACCATCTCATCTTAATATAGTGCACACAATGTCGATTCACCTAGACTAGTGGCCACCTTGCAACTTCATCGATAAGATTCGATTTGCACTAAGAGAGACCTGACATATATGACATTGATTACCACCCAGTGATCATGCAATCGTAAATGCCATGTATATTTAATGATGAAATAATTAATGGCTTTACTGTGATTAAAATATCAGTCATGTAAATCGGTTATTGAGCTTGTGAAGTGGACATTACATTTTTTTCAAGTAATGTCAACAGCAAATGTATTTACGGTTAACAACCGCAACATTAATTGCACGGCGGTTGTGTTTCCTCACCACTCGCTGATGAGAAATTTTAGGGTGTGATTAAAAGAAATTAGAAATTAGTGATTGGTGAACCTGTTTTTGAAAGTGTATACTCAAGTGATAATGAACAAACATTTTGTCATCTGTATTAATTTTTTAATTCAGTATAGCAGCAGCCCCAGCAGCAGTAGGTCTCAGCATACAAAAAGGGAAAAGCAAGATTTTAACTTCTGAAAAAAATATAAAAAACATATATCAACTCTATTTCACTACCCTGCTATACTCCACCATCGGTTTGGAATCAGAGTTTTTTAACTCCCCTAGGTTGACTCTCCACGTCCACCAACCCAGTTGAAGCGCCGGACATTCGCTTTTCGTCCTCTCAATTTCGTAAACAACACCCCCACCACAAGAAGGCAGTGAGTAGGACTTCTCTGGCAGTGGCTATATACTCGTGGCCATGTGAGAGCATTTCGAGAGAGAGAGATAGCGGACTCTCCCCACCCTCGGCCGTACCAGGGCATTTGGGGGCCCTGTTTGAGAATGTATATCGGGATAAATATTTTTCGATAAAATACATATAGAACTGAAGACGCTAGTTACCATAACAAGAGTAATAATATGTAAATCATTAAGAGAAAATTTAGGAAAAAAACTGATAATTGTTTTTTAATAGTTAATAATAGTGACTACGGAAGTTGAAAGTTCCGTTCCCATTCTTTTCTTATCGATCTTTTACTGATATACATTCTATGTTTGACCACTGTTATATACTACTTATGTGAATATAAGTAGCCTATAGCGACTCACGTGCAAATGGGTTTATTCTCATTTAACTCAGTTAAGCCCTTTTGCTAACCTATTTAGCGGATAAAGCCATCCGCACTATAACAATTTATTGTACCCTTATTATTATTCTGTGCTTGTATGAAATACGCATGCTTGAATATTGCTTACGGCCTACGCATTTATTCACTCTGCTAGTCTCACTACTAACCGCTTATTTGATTCGATTACTCAATAATTTCACATGCTATATATATATGTCCATGTTATTCATATGGCTGACTCTGCTTTCTCGCTCGCTTGATTGTACTCGATTACTTATATTCACTCAGTCGCTCGCTTGCCTGTTTTCCGTTTGACACAACTCTTAATGCTCGTTTAATGCATCTGTAATTTTGGACATCTGTGTGTGTGGTCTCGAAATAAACATAATCAACGCTTCGTATTCGCCTTCTGACTAATATACCGTTGGGGTTAAATAGGACGGTTATCAAGACGAATTGTATACGAAGTTTAAGAGATAATATCGAATACCGACCACCACAAGCCCACACCATAAAATGTTTAATACACAATTAGTTAACAAATTTTCATCTAAATATTTCTATTAATTGTTTTGTTTTTAACACATGGTATACTCTTTTCATAAACGTTATATGAATGCAAATAATTAATTGATCACTTGGTGATAAACAATGTTACATATGTCCAATCTCTCTTAGTGCAAATCGAATTCTATCAATCAAGTTGCAATACTGTTTAGTTTAGCTTTAAAAAAAAAGTATCGTAAATAAACTTAAGATTGTGATTGTGTTATTTTGTTGATCCATTAATAGTATAAATTGTTTTGAACTGTATATTGTACATTTTATGTAGCTGGGAGGTTTATAATTATGTCCAGAAAAAAAAATACTCGACTGTGTATACTTACTTACTTACTTACGCCTGTTACTCCCAATGGAACATAGGCCGCTGACCAACATTCTCCAACCCACTCTGTCCTGGGCCTTCTTTTCTAGTTCCACCCAATTCTTGTTCATTTTTCTCATGTCTATCTCCAGTTCTCGGCGTAATGTGTTCTTTGGTCTTCCTCCTTTCCTTTGACCTTGAGGATTCCATGTGAGGGCTTGTCTTGTGACACAGTTTGGTGCTTTCCTCAATGTGTGTCCTATCCACTTCAAGCGCTTCTTCCTCATTTCTTCCTCCACTGGGATCTGGTTTGTTCTCTCCCACAGTACGTTGTTGCTAATAGTGTCCGGCCAATGGATCTGAAGTATTTTGCGTAGACAACTGTTAATAAACACCTGTATTTTCTGGATGATGGCTTTTGTAGTTCTACAGGTTTCTGCCCCATACAGTAGAACTGTCTTGACATTTGTATTGAAAATCCTGACCTTGGTGTTGGTTGACAGTTGCTTTGAGCTCCAGATGTTCTTCAGTTGTAAATATGCTGCTCTTGCTTTTCCGATCCGCGCCTTCACGTCTGCATCAGATCTACCGTGTTCATCAATGATGCTGCCCAAATATGTAAAGGTTTTTACATCTTTCAAATCTTCTCCGTCAATTGTGATTGGATTGGTGCATGCTGTGTTGTATCGGAGAATCCTGCTTTTCCCTTTGTGTATGTTGAGACCTACTGCTGCTGAGGCTGCTGCCACGCTGTTTGTTTGGCTTTGATGATCCTTGGTCCATGAGATTCCCATCCTATAAGTGCATTTTGCTCTTGTTTGGACAGCATCAATGCAACTCCTTGTGTATGTGGTGCATTTTCTTCTTCATGGCCGGAGTATAACAGGAGCTCTCCTGTAGTTAATCGTTGTTGTCCAACTTGTGTCCAATGTGTTTCACTGATCCCAAGTACCTCTAGGTTGTATCTTCTCATTTCTGCAGCAATTTGGAAGGCTCTCCAAGTGTCCCACATTGTACGAAAATTCCATGTACCTAAATAAATGGTTGCTCTGGTTGTCAGAAGGGGCATCGGCCTCGTAACTTCCGAAGGAATTCGGCTTTCATCATGAGGCGTCATAATTCTTCTAAATGAAGACCTTCTGACTCCCAGGACAGAGTTTAAAAGGTTTGAATAATTTTTTCTGGTTAGCGTTTTTTTAGCGAGTTAGTTTTCTACGGGATGGGGACGCTAATCCCATGCCCAACCCTCCTCCTTTATCCGGGCTCGGGACCCGCAGTAGCCCCCGGAGGGACTCCAGGCGGAGTTACTTGACTGTGTATAAAGTCATGTAAATCGGTTATTGTACTTGTAAAGTGGGCATTGCATTCTATTTCAGGTAATGTCAACAGCAAATGTTTTGTAAGTATGCCCTCTGACTAAATCATGTCATTTGTAAATGAGATCGCATACGTTATTTATTTAGAAAGTCTGAAATCATTTTTCAAATCATTATTTTTCTTTATTAAATATAATAGACAAACACTTGGAGGCTGAGCAAGATTGTAAATGTCTTAGAGTTTGTTAGTAAGTGAAGCGAACAATATTGAATGCTGTTGTCCTGAAAATCGGAAGTGGTCGTACTGTTTCAGCCTCTGTTAAGCTGAGCATCCAAGAATTATTGTCGTACCTCAGGGAATTGCACTCATAATTATGATGAACATTCCCATATACAACAGTCCAGTAACCTTCAATAAACTTACAAAAGATGAAGGCCGGACATTGAGTGTTCATTGAAGTCCTTCATGAACAATATAATAACACTAATCAAATTATCTCTTTCGTCTAATCGGCTATGAGGAATCGCTATATGTTCTACCACCGTTTCTCCAACATACAAATTTAATATACGGCTTCTGATCTCTATGGAAATGAGAAACTCTCACTATATAACGGCAGTACGTCACTCTTTCATAAGTCCTGATTGCGCTTTTTAACGCTTCAAGTGATTCGAATGCTACGAGATATAATGTATTCAAAAATGCATTATCTGTTTCTGTGATAACGTGAGAAACGACAAACTCTTGTACTTTGTATGTTACTATCGTCCATAATTTGACGAAAAAGTTCACTGCCGACAAGTACTTACATTTTATATCCATTTTAAGAAAATATTTAACCAATTATAACGAATTTAAAAACTAGCCATTTAATTGAACGAGACAGAATGAAAAATTTGGAAAATGAAGGAAAGAAGATACAGAAACCGCCGTACGTTTACTGATATTCTATATATAGATGCTTGAATCTTATTAACTGATTCAACTCTCAATTCACCTCTGTATTCGTACACTCACATGAGAACATTAGCTTTTTTGTTCGAGTTCTCTTGATGTGCGAATGATTCACGGATCTGTACTATTCAATAAATAAACTGCAGTTAAAATTAGTTATCCAAATGTAACCTTAAACATATTTTATTCATGTATATATAGTGGTATGTTTTTGTCAATATTCTTGTATTTCTTACATGATTTATAAAAACTAAATCACTTGGCAAGACTCTAATTTATGGACGACCTTTAAACGAATCTCAAGTGACTTAGCCAATCAGTAAACAGTCAGTATAGAGTAAAAATATATTAGACAAAATCAAGGAAATAAAGTGGATACACTCCTTATATGTGATTCAAAAACTTGTCAATGTTAGAAAGAGGTTCAGAGGTTCTAAAATTGTAAGGCATGCAGTAGAGGAAATCATCCATACGGTTACAGAATAGTAGGCCTCTGGAGTCTCAAAAACTCTTTCAGCCTCGACCACATAGCTTCAACATTGCTTATGTGCACTCCGGTTGTTGAGTGTACAAAATGCTACTTGTGGATAACGGCACGATGCACATAAGCGAGCCTATGTAGGAGTCTGTAGGCTCTCGAAACATCCGTATATATTGTAGTACCTGGCTGCAGCCAGTGCTACTGGTGCTTTTATTATCCAGTTCTCTATAGTTGTCGTAATTTGCCTTAGTTAGGAATTATACATGGGTTTTTCATCACGAAATGACATCAGCTATAATGCCAGAAATTTATTTAGTCAAATGGATGAAAGGCTTTCGCGTTAAAATCCGAGATCTATTATCTTACACCTGATTGATTCGTTCACAAACTATAGTTCTGACGTTTTATTTTTTATAGCCAGTCAATTATCACGTTTTGTATAAAATTCCCTGTGAACCGATCGTACGTTAGCATTAAGCACTGACGTTGGCGCCGCAATCTTGAAATCTCTAAAACGCTTCTGATTGGCTCGTCCATAAATTAGAGTCTTGCCAGTCACTTGATTATTCATTGAATGGGTGTATTACCGGATTTCAGTTCTTTATAGAACCTCTGCATCTATTCTTGCTAGACTGATGAAATGAATGTCTAAACTATAAACAAACGAAACACTAGTATTTTAACTTATGATCTATCATTGTTCTAAACTTGTTAAGTCAACATAACATATACAAAGTTAGTATGTTCCATATTTCATTTTATATCATTAACGAGTCATCCATATCGAAGTCAGATAATGAGCGTCTAAAAACTATTACTTTATTGTTTGTGATGAACAGTAGTATAGCTCACCAATAATTAATTTATTAATAGAGTTGTTTGAAAATATAATTAAGTTATTATGTAATGACAATCAAATCAATGTTTTATATCATTATAACTTAATGAATGATTCTTTCTTTAGTAATAAAAAGGTATTATCAGAATGGGTTTTGTGGAGAATTTTAGAAATTTCACAGTTTGAAATCATGAGTCAGTTGAAGCTAGACCACCATTGAAAACCTGGAAGCACTGGATGGCCGTTTCGTCCTGGTATGGGACTCCTCAGCAGTGCGCATCCACGATCCCGCACCACACGGGGCTCGAACCCAGGACCTACTGGCTTTGCGCGAGCACTTAACCATTAGACCACTAAGCCGGCATCCAACGGTGTTAATGTCTAACTTCAACCAATCCACGAAGTTGCGCCACCGTACACCATTGTCTTCAGTGAGTTGTTATCTCACAGTTTGAAATCATGAAACTGTGAAATTTCTAAAATTCTCCACAAAACCCATTCTGATAATAATAATCAACTGCTCACTAGTAACTGACTTCAGGAAAAACTCCTGAAGTTCTAGTGAGAAGCCGTTACCAGTGGAGTTCAACCGGTCTGTTGTGAGATAACAACTCACTGAAGACAATGGTGTACGGTGGCGCAACTTCGTGGATTGGTTGAAGTTAGACATTAACACCGTTGGATGCCGGCTTAGTGGTCTAATGGTTAAGTGCTCGCGCGAAGCCCGTAGGTCTTGGGTTCGAGCCCCTTGTAGTGCAGGGTCGAGGATGCGCGCTGCTGAGGAGTCCCATACCAGGACGAAACGGCCGTCCAGTGCTTACAGGTTTTCAATGGTGGTCTAGCTTCAACTGACTCATGATTTCAAACTGTGAAATTAATAAAAAGGTATTATTTTCATCTTCCAACAGCCAACTTAGCAATAATAACGGATGTATTAGAAGAATATTTCATTAAAGCTGGATTATCGATTTCACAAACTGGAAATCAGACGTAAAGAACTCAACAAACAATAAATCGAGATGTATAGGGAAGTCTGTATTCTTATAAACGAGGAGATCTTGTCCGATATCTTCATGATATTCACGTCTAAATATGAAAATTGCTTAATCAAATGTTTCTTCTCAATAGTAACACATTCTTATATAGAGGGAATGTTTCTCAACAATTTCAAACTATGTTATCTCAAAATATTTACGTCACAGTCCAACCTTCAACTTCATTCCATTCCATTCCATCATTCAGTGGATACTGTTCACAATCTGTCATCACTGAAAACATTCTTTCTTGTAGATGGTTGAATGGCAAGCTAGTTGTGTCTCTCTGTGTCAATGTAGCACACAATCAAGCAGATGGTTGTCAATTGTATCTGTTCAACAAGTTGACATGATTTGACGAAGCATAAGCCAAATGCATTCTACAACTAGTACCACTGTAGATGAAGTAACGTGGATTCTATTGACGCTGTTCATTGTGATCCAGGTTATTCGAATTTGTACGGAGATTGACCTATGTGATTTTAATAGTTGGTCGGTGAGACTTCAACACACACTATGTTTATATGACCACTTAGTGATATCATCTACCTCCTGAATAGACTACTAGATATGCAGTATTTAGAAAGTATCTAGTTCATCCAATTTATCTTGGCCTACCACAAAACTGATCATGATGCCTATATGGATAGATTATTTTTAGTTTGATTATTAGTATTGACATCAGATTCTCAATGCATGTCAATTCACAGTTCATAATTCACGACTATCATTCTTCCAATTACAAATTACTCAATACAATTCACACTTGCACACAGTTCACTGAAACATTGCATAGTAGCGAACAAGAAATAATTAGACATATCCTATATTACTATCTTACAAATTGTAGGGAATAATGACACTATCATCAATCAGTCATCCAACAGGCTAAATTGTATTGATCTTCAGTGTATTATTAATAAAAGAATTCTCTTGATTGTTGTAGTGGATATGTGTTAAGTAGACATGCTTTACATATCTCACACTGGTCATGTTCATGAAAACATGTTCAACATAATTGTTCCTACAAGTGTCACTTTCGCATTTTAAATGTGAATTCCCTATTCATTCACGATTTCTGTCTGACATCGATTGGTTTCGCGATTGGCTCCACGACTTGTCGACATGATACTTCTCACGAAGGGAGAATTTAATTTCCATCAATCTGGTGAGATAAGTCGATTAATCAAAGTCTTAACAACACAATCGATGGCTTACATCCATGTCGAACAGAGACAGTTCAAACAGTCCAACTATCGCATGATGAAATTCGATTATTCGTGTAAGTCAGCCAGTGAGTCCAACTGACTAATCAACATCTTCTGAGTGATAAGATGAGATTTGTCTAAAACAAACTTGAAAACGAAACGGCACAGATTTCGCATACTAACACTAAAACACCAGTTATCTTCCTCATCAAAATCGGAACACTGTTCTATATTGAATCATGTTTCAACGTATGCTCGATTAGTAAACCGATACCTGATCACAGTACCAAAATCAAAACTGAACAGAAATGCAACTATTCAATTATATTTAAACACACGAAAATGAACAGTGAATATTTATCTAAGTAATCACAGCATTCTAGCTCATCTCCATTCAAATCTTTACCAACACTTCCATTCTCAATCTAATTTCAGTCTACATCAATTCACGTTTCACCACATCACCCATAACCGGTTCTTCGACGTTGTCATCATAAACATATGGCCCATCAACAGGCTCATAACTGTCTTGTTGATTTTCATCAAATCCTATGTTATCGTAATATTGAGGTTGTTGAAAATATGGGAGTTGTTGAGGTTGCATATTTATCCCTCCCATTTGCATGTGATGCTCAATAGGTGGATATCCATATTGTTGTTGTGGTTGACCTTGTTGTGAAGGATAGTAAGCTTGTGCTAGTTTTGACTGATATTGACGTTTCATCATTTGTGATTGACCAATGGGTTGTCCATATCCACTCTGTGCTCCGTATGAATTGGAATATTGGGAGTATGCGCTCATTGGTTGTTGTGAATTTTGGTTAATTTTCCCTCCCATTTGTCTCTTCATCATCATATTGGATGAGTAGTATTGTTGTTGTGGTTGTTGTTGTTGTGATTGCTGTTGTTGTGGTTGCTGTTGTTGTGACTGTTGTTGTTGTGGTTGCTGTTGTTGCGATTGTTGTTGCATCGGTTGCTGTTGGCCATATGAGTACTGATCTTGCATCGATGCTACTTTTGATTGTAGGCTTCGCTTTACCATCGATGCGTTACCACTTTCGTTCCTGCATATCAGATTATTAATCTGTTCACTCAATATCACAATGTCTTCTTCAAGCTTAGCTCCCAATTGTTCAACTTTCTTTAACTCTTGTTCCAAGTGATTACCACTTGATCGCGAACGTGGTGGACTTATAAAACTGCTCACCAGAACACACAGGACTGAGAATATCAGCATGTGCAATATGAAACAGTTGATTGTCCTCATCGTTCAGTCTGAACACCTGTCAAACAGAACACAACATATGAAACACTTAGCATGAGGTCTCTAGTTAACACTATGTAACTAACTTGTTTCATACAAAACGCGCATTTGGAGCACAAAGCAATTTGCACATAGATTCGATTAAATGAATATTGAATAAACATTGACTGTAGACGTATACACAATTGAAAAGTAGTGGGGATTCTTACACATCTAAGTTCGAAACATCACATTTTGGCAGTCAACTCTCACGAAACCATCCTGTATCATAGGTCCTAACACAGACCACGACACGTTTTGCATCAATCAGTCTATAAACAAGTTCACATTTCCAATATAGTTCGTATGTAATACATCACAGTATTTAATCAGTGTCCCGATTCAACAAGTCACGGGTTCCTAACACTACACTCCAGAATCCATCATGAAGTCAAATTCTAACGTACTGACAACTATAATTCACCAAGTTGTTTTGTGCAAAGATTTGTTCAGTCTGAATATGGCTCTAGTCACAAAACAATCATACGAATGTCAAACAAAATACTTTGATGAATCACTGGTATTGGGAATAATTGCATTGTGGAAGTAGTGACAGTGTCGCCCTTACTCAAACTTCGGAAAATATCAAGAAATATATGCTCTACTCTGCTGTACAGTACATTCCATCGTTGGTGTAAATTCATGGAATGAACAGTTTGTCATGTTGGAATAGAAAATCATACACAGTAGATGACAAGTGAGTACTTTATGAATTCAGTATGCCAAAACCTAGGAATGAATCAAAAGTTGCACTTGTTGCACAGTGACGTTACAACAGACATTTGCTTGTGGGTAACTAGTGATTATCGTCAACAGATGATCTGTTGTATGAAGAAGCTTATCGAGTACCACAATTGAGTAAGTCAATAGTAATAAGGATGAACAAGAACAACGTTATACTCACCTCTTCCTTTGGTAACAAATCTTTCTGAACGTTTCAAATATTATCGCATATTTATATTCGTCTCACCCGTTGCCGTAACAACAACTAATTGTCATCTAGTCATTACTCTGTATCACAATGTTGTAAACAAACTAGTAGAAATGACTGAAATTTCAAGTACAATACACTTGACAAGTTTGATAGTTACCAATACATCATCTACATAAATATATCTGTGTGTGTGTGCTATTTGTGACACCTTTTTGATAACATTGAATCGAATCAACTACCACCATATATTCGGTCATAAATGTGACCAGTTTTGAATGAGGGTCCTGCATATTTTGTTTGATGGTACTTGTTAAGTGTCAAAAAATTGGGAGAATAAACTGAAAAGTAAATTGTTATGAAGCTGATTTACGGTGAACGTGTATCAAATAGTTTCACTATGTGTGTTTGTCAAGCTATTGGTTTATTGTATGTTTGACATGATACTGATTTGTAACGTCCCATTTCACAGGTCATCTATACTTTGTTTTGCCCAACCAATTAGTGTGAGTGAATTAAAGACCTATCAATCAGGTTAACAGTTATCCACAAGCCAGTTGGTAATAAGGCTGTTTTAAAAAGAGACGAAGCTTTTATTCACGCTTGATCCATGAGATTAAACAGATGAAGCAGAACATTGTGAAATAGTTAAACCGACCTTAAGCTAACCTCTAGTTATATTTTATTGCCAGACCGTATGAATAGGGGGTCGACACAAGTTTAGAAGACGATGTAGAACAGCTGAATATGAAAGGCTGACCCCAGAGTTCTTTGATAGTCTCGCTTCAGAACTGTTCAGCGTCAGTGCCTAAATTAACGGTAACGAGTTCAGTGGTTGAATCTATTGACTACTTTGTTGTCTTGATAGTCTCATCCACTCTATAGGGTCGACATCTAACAAAATTTCGGCACTGATCCTAATAGGTCATTTGGCTAATTAGAACTCGCACCAGTTTTGATATATTTTAGATGTTCGTCTGACGGTTAAAGGGTGAGCGTACTGAACAATAGTCCGTTCTGTAATACTCTATGTTCATTAAAAAAACTCCATATTACAATAGAAGACAAGAGTATGTTGCACATTTACGATCATAGGTGACTTGTGAACGTTGCTAACGGTTCGTTGAACAACCGAGTGAGTGATTTTATGTTTATGTATAAGGTACTAGGCAGAGGAGACAAAGTTGTTGAAAGGGATTGAAAATCTTCAAATCAAGTGGTTATGACATCAACTAAGTAGCGCTAATCATCACTTATCTCAAAGGATGATGTTTACTGGTGTAGGAGTTAGTTGAAAGAACGTTGGACTCAGCAAAACTGAAACACGAAACCAGTCATTGACTGATGGTTTGCGCCATGTTTAAAGGTACGGAGTGCCTGTTTGGGGTCAGTGCGTTAACGTTGGTCTGTGGTTATATACTACTCTGATACACAAACAAGTTTGTAAATGCTTAAATTAACTAAGCCTTTAGTTTAACTTACAAGGCTAACAGACTGTTATTTTAGCCCATAATAATTCGCTTATACTTTCATACAAATATTCTTGTTTATAAAAGTAAGTTCGTATTCCGGTGCTTGGGTATCAGCTTGCTATCTCATTCTCTGATCTGTTTAAATATTAGTTGATTGAAATGTTTCATGACTCATTTTCTTCTAAAAGCATATTCGCTTGCGAAATACTAAAAAAGGATTCATTTACTGTTCTGCATACTGCTCGTATGTTTTGAACTGAACACTATAAATAAACTGGCCTTACAAACATTTTGTCTCAACATTTGATCATCATGAACCATTAGTGTACTAACTCATCAACGATAATTTAGTTGAAGAGTATATGAAGTTAGATATAAGTACGTGACCTTCTCATAGCAGTCAAAAACATTGGACGAAAAAACTTATGATCGATTCCAAAAGCACAGGTTCATTCGCCCTTCATCTTCCTTCAAATCTTTGGTTCCCCTGTTCCTTCACAGATACCTTTTAATTTTGTCTTTCACTACCAAATCTTCAATGTTATATTTTCCTTATTATTATTACTGCATTGTTTCGATTTGTATATTAATCACATTTCTAATTTCATATTGACATGGTAATGAGATAGAGCAACCTGGAAAAATTCATATTTGTAAAAGACTGTATGCCAACAATAGATAACAGAGTTGGTGTACTTGATATGATGATTTATAGTTTGGGAAAGTGTGACAGTATGAACAGGGCTAACGATCACTAAATCAATCGTTCTACTAACATGTACACAACAATCATTAGTAGCTATTATTGTGAATTAATCGACTCACAACAGTATTCATCATCCATTAGATTAAAAACACGGTGCGTAATTAGTCCAATCTGTTGACCAATTTTCAGTTTGTAGTAAATGTTTCATGACGTTTCATCGTGTCATTATTTCACTCCCATCATGTAACTTCAGTAATAACGTATTTTCGAGAGTGTTGTAATTTCCGACCTCTCCTCTACTGGTTTTGTGTCGTTGTTCACAACTGTCGTTGAATATCCATTGATAGTTAGTAGAGATTTGGTCACACTTCTCACTTGTCCAGTTCACATCTCACAATATGTTTGTCATAATATGTCATATCTTTCACTTGCTTTCAATATAGATGAGATACATCTAGAACTGAGTTGTGCATGAATCGAGAGTTCGCCACATCTCTCTCACTGTTCCTCCACTATGCGCACAAATACCACTAAGTGTGAAATCTAACAACACTCATTCATCGGAATGATTGATATATCAATGTGTTTGTATGAAGTGCAGTATACTCATGTGTTATTCACCTACATGTGTTCGACCAACACATTTATTTGTGAAACATGAAATGATAAAATCTAGAACTGGAATTCAGTTAGTATGAATCGGTGAGAGACTTTCGTCGATTGTAGGTTCCTGAGACGACGTATATTCTAACAATTCATATTGAACTAGTGAACAATCTTCGTAAATGCTTTTCGCTGAACATCGAATTAAGCTTGTGTTAAGATGTCATCAGAGATGGGAATGTCAAACGAAATCTGATAAGATTGTCCATTTCATCTATTCATATTTCATTTTCTCATGTATATCAACCTAAAAATATCACTCGTTTGCATCTAACTCGATTGGAAATGATCTCCAAAGTACAGATTACACATCGAGCCAATGTACTCAATCGATGCATTCTGACTGAGTAAGACGTTGTCAAAATACAGAATGTGGAGTTGCTTTTGTGTAACGATGTGTTCTTCTCATGCATAATGCATGATGTTACTCGAAAATTAGTATGACTAAGAATTGTGCAGTGAATGTGATTGTTTGAAAATGTGATTATCTCACAGACACGTCATCCGGTTTGTTGGACCGACCTCTGATGAATGAACGAGTGTGTTGTTTCTGATAGATCGGGATAAAATGACAAAATGGAATTTTGTTTAACTAACTCATTGTGATTGTTATTCCATGTTATGGCCGTTTTGTTAATTCAGTATGATGATTATTCAGTGTAGTATTTGTTAATGTTTTGCAGTGTGATATTTTATTCGGTGATACATTACTTGATTTGAGTGTGATTTTTATTCGAGGAACGATGATGTTGTATAAAATTGACATGAACTGATGTTCTTAGTTCGAATCGTGGGGATTGTGGTGGTTCGTCGATTTCAGGCGACGTGGACATATCAGTTCACTAATGCTTGATCATGAAATCCTTCAATGCTTTACCACAGATTGTTAGGACCATTGAGTAATTTGTGGCGTCCTCATACATGGGCTGATAATTAGAGATATGAAATGGGTTGATGAAGTTGTTGGTCATCATCACCTGAACTCGATTTGTGTGGCGTACCCTTGTCCACTGTCTTATTTGCATTGTGGCACAAGCTTTCAACTCAAATGTACTATTGTGTTACTGAATTGACATGCACACGATTATGGTGGTTGGTGAGAGAGTGAGTGAGTGAGTGAGTGAGTGAGTGAGTGAGTGAGTGAGTGAGTGAGTGAGTGAGTGAGTGAGTGAGTGAGTGAGTGAGTGAGTGA